TTGGCTACACATGCGAACCAATCAACATCAATCCATATCAATCCCTTTTTTTTTCAGCCACAAGCTGATACAGACCCGCTGAGGAAGCATGTAACCAGATATCACAAACAACACCAATTTCCCGAAAATGCAAGTACGTCCCAAAAACCACCCAACCCACAAAGTCCTCAACTCTCTTCTGTGGTACGTCGCGGTACCTTCCGCGTTCGGAAGTGCAACGGGCCCGAGGTTCTTCCTGGTGGACAGTGGCGCCAAGGAACGCATCGTTCACTTCGAACGCGTCACGGAGACGGAGCGGTGCCACGAGGAGAAGCTCCGCTTCCAGGCGCGGCGCAGCGAAACGGACTCAGCGAAACGGTGGTTCGAAGGTGTAGGCATGCCTAGAACCTGAGTGACCATCCAAAACAGGTGGCATGCATTGACGAACCTGAGTGACCACTGTTTTGGAGGATCAACCATCCAAAATATGGCCGTTTCTGATCAAAAAGGAGGCCAAAAGGCCAAATGGGTTCTAGGTGTATATACATATATATATATATTATGTTTTTATTGGCATACATCGAAGTGCCTGGGGTTGTAATCTCTAAATGTTGGGAAGAACATGGAAATCCGTTGGAGTCTTTTGGCAAAGTGTACTGTAAACGTCTACTGGCCGGGTAGATCCAGAGACTCTTGATGGAAGAACTACTGCCTGGTGGCTTTTTCAGATGTCAGGTGACTAAGGCGGGGGAGAACAACTTGGTGCTTCACGCCATGTGTGCCTTGGCCCGGCGTTGGCCATGGGGACCCGGTCGGCCGACGTGAGTGAAGCGTGGAGAACGATGTGAGGCTTGTAACCGCTTTGCGGTTACACTCCTTTGGACAAACGGAAGTGGAAAAGCCAGGAGAATCATCATCCAAGAGGGCCATGCCATGCCACCAGGGAGTGTAGACTTGGGGACTCGGCCCTCTCCCGCATTATAATCCTAGAGTGAAACAGTGGAGTCACCCGCATTGGTAGAGGGTGCATGGTTTTGCAGAGGGCCCATCTTGTGCCACCAAATCATATCAAATCATGTGTGTTCAACAAAGTTGCACCTGAACCGATTGACAAAACAATCTCTTTGTGGGTGCAGAATGGTACAAGTGATGGTAGGCTAGGCGTTGAGGTCAGGTATGGTGTGCATTACATATGTTACATATGCATTTGGCTTCCACGCACCTTTTGGAGCTGAGCTGAGCAAGCCACGCATGAGGTGATGCATATGCTGGTTTGGACCACAAAGTGGAGCTGACCTTCCATGCTCATGCAGAGGACGAGTTGGTACGAAAGATGCCGGTGCATCAGGAGCCAAGCCAAGCCAATCTGAGAACTCGTCCTTTGTTTCGTCTCAAAGACTTGGGTGGATTGCTTTAATTTGCCCGCCAAAAACACCCTGGAATCACCGTAAATCGTGTTTTTTTTCTCGAGGCTTATGCCTTTCTTCCTTGACGCGCACCGCATGGGGAGGAGGATGAAGACCTGGACCTGCAGCCCACGCTCTTCCAGCAATGGATGGGCGACCTGAAGGGCGATGAAAGCCGCTTGGCATCGTGGCACCGTTTGGCCCTTGGTTGTTCACCATACTATCTGGCCAAACGGTGAAGAGCATGTGGCCATTGGTTTGGCATGTTGTGGCCATTATATTGGTTGTTGACTTGCAGCCCATACCGGCAAAATTTGTTGGGGCATGGGTTTGCCGGCGCAAGAACGATCCCAAGGATGACATTAAAAGGTTGTTGGCTCAATGTGCAGTTTGTTCGCAGGACTTCGTTTTTCTAGTGATTCGTGTTAGCCGCAGCTGGGGAGCCGAGCTATATTGTGTCAATGATTGTCAATGTATTACCTGTACTTTGCACTAACTGTGACGTGGCATGTGCATCCCTGCAACATTGGAGAGCTCCTGTGCAATGTTCAGGTACATCAGTAATTAATATAGACCCCCAAATAGATAGACAAGTAGATCCCCACTAAAGATGTCTTGGAAACGGTGCCACCATCTATTTGGCCATCAGATATATCCTGATGCTTTTTTTCCAGATACCAGGATGGTTTACCTAACAGCATTGCTGCATGACTTTGTTGCGTTTCACCGCCGGCGGCCGGGTTGGCCAGCGCTAGGTGAAGAAGAGGACGGGATGATGTTTTGTTGGGGCGGATTTCGCGGCCGTAGGAGAGCATGACGCAGGGGATGGGGGGACATGTTATTTTTTTCAGATTTTTTCAGGCTCAACAGGAAGTGGACATTCTAGTTGTAACCTTCATTTGGCCAGGTCCTTGATCTTTGACATGGTAAGAGTCAAACTGTAAGCCACTTGGAAAACCTCCACCTTACAGCGCACCTGGCTACCTTCTTCCACAGGTGGGCAGCGGCGACGAAGCTCCCAGAGGGCCCCGGAGGCGCGCAACCGAAACGGTGACCGAGTTTCGGACGGACATGGCCGGCCACTCCGGTGGATTGGAGGAATCAACCCACCCAATATGACGATAAGCGGTTTACCATTTCTGACCATGAGTGTCAGCAGCGTGAGACCCGTCCCAACGATTTCGTTGGATTTCCGGCCGCGAGGGAGGTGATGAAGAGGCTTGCAATCCAACTGGGGGTCCACCGAACGTCGGTGAGGGCATGGTGATGAATCAGGAGTCTAGATGATGTAGAGCATGGATTTGTCGTTGGGTTCTGGCCGAGGCCCGGCAGGGACATGAAAAAGAAGAAGGAGGAGCCGGAGGAAGAGCATCTCTTCTACAGTAAGTCAATGCTCAATCTGTCCAAGCAACGGTCAGAAATTTACCCAATTTGCATATGGCATACTGCCAGAAACTAGTGATACGTAGCCAAAGCTGTGATCCTTCATTAGGTCTGTAGGCTTTGTCCACCTCCAGATACTGAAGTTCCAAGACTGACTATGCACGTTTATGCACCAACACCTACGCGTTCCCACAAGGTTTGAGCAAGAATGCAGTGCCATTGTGCCACCTAGTCCTCCCAAGGGGCATGTCTCACATTCCATGTTTGGGCAGAGCTGTCGCCGAGGCATGAGGACGAGGAGGATTCCGATGCGTCCTCTTCGGGATCCGACTGAGGCCAGACCAGACCAGGAATCAAATGTGCCCCGAGGGATTTGTATCAAACTGGACTTACATATGTATGATTTGACCCTAATTACTACGCGCGCCAGACTTCACGAGCAAGACGAAAGTGGTGTACTAGGTACACAGGCCAAGACGCAAACAAGTGTACACATTTCAATACAACAGACCTAAGCACTATTGTTTGGTGAGATTCCCCCAATCCAGAAGAATGGTCTTACAAGAGGTCAAGATTTGGGCCATCTAAACCAACCTATAGAGGAAGTCTTGGCAGTTTTCTTGAGACACTTTCACAGTACGGCCCGTTACTCTGGCTGTCCCGTCCCCAATGGGTCCGAAGACATTTCCAGATTAAGCAGCATTTTCAGGTCTCCTGATTCCTCACGTCATCATCCAAAGGGATAACAAAAGTGCTACAACTGACGAAGATCCAAGTAAGGACCAAAGAGGTGGTTCTCCCATGCACGGAGGAGACAAACACATCTCGGGAATTCGAGTTGTCCGGATGCTTTGAGAAAAGAACAGTCCGATGAGTCTGGAGTTTGAGCACCCCAGTCCCATCCATCAAACATCTAACTAATGACACCCAAGAAACTTATTTCCTCAAGGATTGGAATTGCAAACATGCCCATGCCAACGATGCCAATGCCTTTGTCTTTGTACGCTTTCCGGATGTGTTTGGTGGCCTATCGGATAAGTGAGCATGTTCTGCGTCTTCTCTGAAGGAGCAACTCCAAAAACTGCCTTGGTGCTTTGGTTCAAAGCGACCGGGTTGACGGTTTTCGACTCGATCTCCAGGTGGAGAATCGTCCAGGTGTGTGGACGTGGCCGGCCTGTGAATGTGTGAATGGCCCGGTTCGTTTCACAGGTGCAGTAGGGGGGCATGACAGACTCATTTTGTGAACACATGCCAAGGTCACATACCAAAGGAGAAAAGCACGGAACCTGAGCCAGCAGGGCTCTTTTTAGTGTTTTTGTTGTTTGAGAAGGTGAACACTAATGTTGTGTCATCTGTCAAATCGAAGGGTCTTGGTGAAGATCCAAATTGCCAACCCAAACCATCTACAAAGGACTCAGAGTGGCAGCCCTGTAAGACACCTCATGCCCCCTGCCGAGTCTCGAGTAGGCCACAGGGCAACAAAATTGCATTGCGCGGCTTGGCAGGTGTGAAGGACGACTCAGATAGCTCACGGTGGCATGTGGGGCAAACTAGGCTTTGGCATAGGTGATGGTAACTCACTTGACTTTGGCGTAGGTGATGATAACTCACTTCCACGACCGTTTGGATTTGGTAGAGCTCGGACGTGGTTCAGATAGTTACTGTATCAGATACCTGGTTTGGCTGGTTACTGAAACAATTACTTCCCCAATGTGGTTTCAATCAAGGTAACGCCACTGCCAAATTGCATAGCGATGCAGCCTAAGGAAAGCCAATGGGAAGCTATTATTATTTTTTTCTTATGAGAGACCTTGCCCCAAGACCCTCCAAGCTAGTGGTCTATGATGTTTTCTCTGTCAACCTTCATCCAGAACCTTGCTCCCCAATTTGGTGCTTGGGTACGTCATCCGGACTGTGAAGTTTTGCTGGCCATGCGGCATGAGCGGTTGGAACGAACCATGAATTCATCAGAGGGGCCAAATACGTTTTCACTCGGACAGCTGTTGCTTAGAAAGCCTAGCCTAGTCCCTGTCCACCATACCATGCGTTGCAGCTGCTTCGTGCGGTTTCAAGTTGGATGCCCTAGCTACAAGGCCCTTTCTCTACCTTGCCTCTGGCAATTACGGTATATAATTATAGTTATCACTGATAGAACGGGCGTTACCTACACATCCGCGCGTTGGACATTGACCCCAAGATGACACCCAGAGGTGTTCACCGTTTGGTCGCCAGGGTCAACTGGATGCATGCAGCACACTTCTTTACTGCTGGGACGCTCAGGGAGCGGCAGAAACGTGTGGGAAAAACATGGTGAACGCAGCCAGCTTTGGTTGCAGGGCACTGGCCAATGCTGAAGCTTGTTGCAAACAATCGCATCTTCGGACGGACACGAAGACATCCTGCAGATGGTTCCAGTGTGAAATCAGTAGTATCAGTCGCTCAGTTTTTGTACCGTATGTATAATATTCATGTGCACATGTATATTCTACCTTTCCCATGAGCACGAGACACCGGAGAGGGCAGTGGTTAGTCACCTTATCAGCTTTGTCAAGATGTCGAGCCACTGGCAGATGTTCAGACGGGATATGCAGAAACTATAATGCCTGGAGGGCTTGCAGGCATTTGGCGTAGTGAACGGAGATGGCCTATGCTTAAAGTGGCCGTGTTCAACCACAGTTTTGGGTGTGCCAAATGCAAGACGAACTCAGTGCCGCCAGCGTTTCAGGGCTTTCAGCTGAAAGGACTTAGTGATCCAACACATGAACTGCAACTGCTCAGCACCCACCAAGTCAGCAGCCACCCCATGAGCCACCCACCTGACACCTGTGGCGCATCTCTCCGGGCGCTTTCAGAAAAAGATCACGCGCGCTCGGGCCGCGGACATTTGTGGACCGCCGTTCTATGGCCGGCTGGGACCGCGGTGCTCCATCACAGGTGGTGCAAAATAGCCTGCAATCGCGGCTAGATGCCAAGGATGCTCCCAAGCCACTGGGGCTTTGTTGGTTGAGCTTTGACATGCTTTTGGGCCTTTTGATCACCAGTCAGTCAGAACCCCCCTCCCCCCCAAAAAAAATAGGTAGGCGAATGCAGAAGAAAGGTCAATTCGTGTCCAAGAAGTGCGTGTTCCTCAGAAATCTTCACCTCCTGGGCGTGTTTTCTTTCTTTTGCCCAAACTCAGGTGGGTTTGCGAATGTGGCCAAGCCAACTTGTCCTCCTGGAGTCATTGCACCAAGTGCTCCAAGCCACCTCGACAGGAGTGCTCCTGAGCAGTGCTCCGCTTGCGGATCATGTTTGGTCCGACTCTGTCGGAGTGTTATAGTGGATTGAGAGTAGATGGCACAGACCTCAAGTGGTGGTTTATATGGATCCCCATCTAAAGGACATCATGGGGCCTGTGCCATTTACTCTGAAACCACCTGTAATGGTGCGATATGTTTTTTTCCGAATGCGTAGCGAAGGGTTCTCGTTTCTTTTGTTTCCTGAAAAGTTGTTCTTCCCCTGGTTCGAGTTGGTGGTTTTACTAAAGTTGCTGATTTTGCACCACCAACATGCATGCAAAGAACCAGCATAACACATGGTCCCCTAAAAATCCACATACCGAACCTCAGGAGCTACGACTGAGCCCTCCAAGCATAAATAGTCTCCAATCACCTGAGAAGCTACGACTGGATCCCTCGGGGTCAACGGACGACCCATCGGTCCCCAGTGCTCCGCGACCGCGGTGCCACACCATGGGTCTTGCTGGTCAGGACCGCGAGCTCCGGATGCAGGCTCGAGCCATCCAAGGCTTAGGTCGCGGAGGAGGCACGAAGCTGGGCACCTGGGCGCTTCGAGGCGGTGACGAGGACGAGTCGGTTTTTCTCACTCCGATAATGGTCAAAAGCTGGAGCAAGTCATGTTACCAAGGTATCCTGCATGTATGGAGTGCTCGGGCGTGCTTGGGCTTTGGATCAGTTGTCGGTCGAGATCACTACCAGGGCCTTCCAACAGGTGGCTTTTGGACACCTTTTAACAATAGAAGAGGCTATTTATAGACACCTCTTGGAGGGTGCTGGTCTCGTGGTACAGCTAACAGCAGCTAACAGCTGAAACGGCTTTGCTGTTTGCTAGTTTCCCTTACCATCCCTTACCCGTTCGATTTCAGAAAAGGTTCAATCTTAGCTTCCTTGCATCACTGCCATAATCGACCGGCCATGTACAAAGTGAGATGGTGTTCCAAGTGCAAATCCATGCAAAACGCTTTCCTATGACACAAGAGATCATGACTCGTCCAAATCAGACTCATGTAGCTCTTGAAACTTGCAAACATCGTAGACATACATAGTACGCAGACATAGTCGTAGACCCAAGATATAGAACATCACAGACCCCCACATGACATTCCCTACGGCTCCAGTCCTACCGTCTAAGAAGGTGGGAACTGGGGTGGGTGTGTTTGGTCCAGTCCAGTCATACCATTTGAGGAGGCACGAAGTCTGAGCCCTAGGGGATTTGCACACCTCTTCCATTCTCCAAAGGAGGTTGAGTAACCTTATGGGACCCTACTGGGGTACATATAGGATGGTTGTATAGGATTCTTCCACCTCTGCTGGCTCACATCCCTCCCTCTCTCCGTTCTCGGGTCGCGCGCTGCTCCGGGTCGGACAGGCTACTTCGAGCGGACGGTCACCGAGTCGCGGGGCAAGGAGGACTTGCAACGCGTCAAGGGGGGCTTGGACATCTATGGCAGGACCCGCACCAAGTCTGGAGGTGCGGCAAGTGGGGAGTTGGCACGTGGAGGGCGGGGGAAGTGTTGGTGGATGGTTGCGGTGGTGGATGGTTGGATACTTCAGTGGTGGAATGATTGGAGGGGTGGGGTACGGTGGGGTGGGGTGATTTGTTGATACTTTTGTTGATGTTTCTGGGGGTCAGAATGGGGAGGTGGGGGGGGATGAAGAGGTTGCATGTTTCATCAATTGCTGTCATTCAACGCACATGTGTGTTTTTGTTGTAACTTAAGTTAACCATACAACATAGTAGAGCTTTTCGCGCTGCCTGTCAACCTAGTGGATTCCACAGTTGAATGGAATCTACCGTGTAAGGAACCCAGGTTCCTCAACAAGGGACCATGCAAACATGTGCCTTCTTTCAGTCCTGTCGTGATCATAGGCAGCGACAGCTGCTCGCCAACGAGAACCCAGCAACACGAAGAGAAACACGAAGAGAAACGTGTCACTTGGCCAAGGAGGTTGTCGGACATCAGTTGGGGGATCAGAGTGGGAGGTGGCAAGGAATGACAATGTTGCTTGAGTTCAAGCGTGTTGTGGCTTGCGTTGATCAATCAATCAAGTACATCCTGGAAGATTGACATGGAAGCTGAAAAGAACTGGTTTGCGAAGGAAGCTAGTCGTCTAAAGGTCCATTTACAGGTTTCGGTTTACCCACATGTAGAGGCTTTGATCCCTCCTAATTTGCCAGGCCTATTCGTAAGGCACTGAGGAGCCTTTGGTAAGGCCCACATACATTTACTGGAGGATCGATTTGGTCGTGTCTGGAGTCAGGAGGGCTATATATACTTAAGACTTGTAAGATCTATGATCCACGGTGGCCATATGTGGCGATGGAAATGGACAGGATCCGACTTGGCAAAGCGCGAAGCAACTGCAATATCCGAACCGACTGGCGGAATCGAATCCAAAACCGTGCAGATATTGACGAACTCCTGCAGATGTTACCTCGGGTAGTTCGTTTGAACCATACCCAGCGAGTTTGATTCCTGGGGCTGCCAATTGCTTTGCAAGGATTCGAAGGCTGATCGACAGAAGGCCGCACTGGAAAGACTGCGGATGCCCAAGAAGAAACGCCGCTTGGAAAGGCTCATGAGACACCTAAAAGCCCACAGAAAGCCTAAAGGCCGCACTGGAGTGATTTTGCTTTCTTGGTCGGTCCTGGCTTTTGTGCTTTTGGTTGGTGCACTACTTGGTTGGCCGGGCAAAAAGGCCATAATTTGGACTTCCAGCTGCACATGTGAGGCAACATTGCTCAAAGTAACAGGACATGGGAGCGGGTGTGGACAAAGGAATGCTATCGGTCTAGCGCACTTTCTAACTGTGTTGTTGATGGACGAGAAAAATAGGCAAACCGTCTAATCTTCTAAAAAAGAAAAGGACCACATCGTTGCCAACCAACATTGACCATTCGGTACCCAACAGACTCTACTCGAATTTATGGAGGACATATAGCAGCGCCACCCCAAGACTACGGATTCCTTGTTGCTTGCGGGATGCTGCGGCCCTCCTCCCAATTGGTACAGAGCCTAGACAATGAAACTCCAACCGATGTTCATGACATACGCAGCTGTTTTACCAGATGTAGTAAACTCCGCGCCCACCTAGCCGCGTCGTGTACTATATACCAGACGACCGCAGGGTGCGTTCGACCGCCTTTCTCCCGGATGCCGAGGAGATGAACTCTCACCCCCGCGGACGCGAATCTACCGAGCAGCTCGGTTGAAGGGCGAAAGCGGGGCCAGGTGTTGATGCTGCAGGGCTTTCTGCCTCGGCGATGCGAAAGGGTTCCAGTTGCTGCTGAAGGAAGACATATCGAAGAACCACCGGAGGGACAACAGTTTTACTTGGTCCATGCACCAAGGGAACTTGGGTGGCTTGGGTGGAAGCCCCTTTGAGCTACAGTATCGGTCGATGATCGATAGAATCGCTTGGCAGTGCGACACTATCTCGGTGTCATCTCATGTCAGAGGGTAGGCGGTGCATGCCAGATGTTGCTGAGCAAGAATTCGTACACCTTCTCCCCCCTGTTGCGATCGAGATCTAGATGGACATGTCATCACCCAAGTTACAAATGTGTTCCGACTATAGAGGGGCAATGAGATTCTGAGGATTAACGACTTGTACACAGATCCATCAACTTTGGCTTGATGAACCTTTCGGACTGGTACCATCATCACTCCATGCGAACGCCTAGCTGTAAAATGCTGTAACTAATATGCTAATAACAAGTAGTATAACATCTATTAACATCCACACACTGGATCTTCCCACCTCCCACCCACTTCGGCGGTGAAAGAGCTTCGTGGCAGCTCCTGTGGCCACGCGCTCTGCGCCGAGGAGAAGTCCTCCCGGAGTCGCAGCATTGAGCGGCGGAGAGAGTCCCGGACCTGGCGAGGCAACTGAGCGGTTTCCGCGCTAAACCGAGAGGAAAGGTACCCGCTCAGTTACTAGCCGGTAGGTAGCCTGGTAGACGAAGGTTGGATTGTAAACCGACCTATAAGCTTAGTAGATAACATGTCAGAAAGTTATATAACTCAATGTTGCAGAAGCCTAAGCTTTGTATATGCTTGCATTCTTGCAACAAGTATGTATTTCCTTTGTATTTTGGGAACTTGTTCATGTGTGTTTATTCCGGAAAGGTTCAAGAAAGTGTTGCAATACGTTTTGAAAAGAACATGGTCAATCTGTAGGCATGTTGAGCCCCAAGGACCAGGTTGGCCAAGTTGCAGACATGACAAATCCATGTTGCTTGCCCTTCGATGTGCAAGTATGCAAGGGTTGTTGCTTGCATAAGTAGGGATGGCCGCAGGGGTGAGCCATACGACCCTTATTTGATCATATGAGGTTCTTCACAAAGATTGCCATGGTTCTTAAGGATTGGAATTCTAGACTAGACCCGACGTCGGGTAGCACTTATCCCGACAAGTGCATCCCAGCAACTCATCCCGACAACAAGCACTTGTGGTGTCAACTGTGAAACCTTGACCATTAAACACTGTTTTCCCTATACTACTATAAGGTAAGGCAGTGAACAAGGCAACATGTCAAGCCATTGTTTTGACAGGTTGAATGCCCAGGCACGAACCCTGCAGTTCAGTGTGCGAAGTTGACATGATGTTTGAAAGGAGATCATGGGCACCTTCAAGGGGATGATCTTTGTCCTGCGATTTTGTTGTGTGCTGGATTCCCTAAAAGCCTCTAGCAGCTAGCAGCAGCTCAAAATGACATGTACCGATCAATTCTACGGTTGTCAGGCCTGTTGCTGACCCTAGAACGTGCCATAAAATGGTCACTGGAGGAGGGGCTCCTTCTACTCTGCACTTGCGGACAACAAGAACATCGTTAAATACAAATACTGTAACCCAGTTTTAACACCGCTACAACTGACCGAACATGGATCTGGATTTCAATGCTCAGCTGTCGATTACGAATTGCCAGCTTCGGCGGAGGCCAAAGGGCCAGAAGCAGACCCGGTTGCACGTATGTTGGTGGAATCTCTATCCTCTCTTACATACGACGTCCCTGGTATTCTCTTGAAAGATCCTGACCTGTCCTGACACCAGATCCAAAAAGAGTTCAGGTTGCATCAGGTTCAAGTTGACCAGACTGCCCATGCCACGATTTTGGGGAGGTTTGACATGGTTTGACCAAGTTCTTGGATCCCAATTCCGGGTCAAGAGGCCTTCCCATCGTTGCACTCCTTCGTGACCCAATTCACTGGGTTTGGAAGAGGTGGGACTTTAGCTCGAACATGCCGTTTGGGATTCGCTCGAATATTACGCGCCTGGACTTTCCATAGGTGATCTTCATGTCTTCATGTTTGGGCATTTGGGATGTTCTGGACGACGGCCTAGCAGGCCTAGCAGATTCGATTCCATGTGCTGAAGGCGAATTCGCGAATCCTGAAACTAAAGACTTATGAATTGTCGTTCGGCTGCATGGAAAAAAGGTGGCGCTATTCGTGTGCCGCTGATGAATCTAGGCCCTGGTTCCGAGACCCACATGGAACCTGAGAACCGGGTTGTAGAGGAAAATCGTCTTTCAAGGTCCATGTTCAGGTTCCATGTGGGCCTCCACCCGGTTGTACAGCGTTCAACTGGTGCAAGCGGAACTGGCAGGTCAGTTTCAGAGTTCCATGATGTTCCATGCCATGTTCAGGAGTAGACCTCCATGTCTTGATTACCCAGACACTCCATGGGACTGCAATTGACCCCCCCAAAACCACCCCAACTGATCGGCATACATGGAGTGTCTGGGTTAGGGAGTGTCCCATTACTGGTAACAATTGAATTGGTAAAAATATGTTCATCACACACGATCACCATGTTACGTCGACGTCGGGAGACTCAACCTGAAGCCTGGTTGCATCCGCTGTAGTGAGGGTGTAGTGAGATATGCCAAGATATGCCCAATAATTGCTTTTATGTGCGCTTTTTTGTGAGAGAGGCCTTCTACTAAGACTATTTTTCTAAGCATCTTCATTGTTACTGGTTATGACATATACCCAAGGTCTATAATTAGGTCCTTTGGGGGACTTGCATCGTCGCACACCGATGCGCACACCAATGCGCGGCCTTCCGACAAAGGCTGGTATGTTCCGCACGAAGACCTTTCAAGATGGAGGCGACAAGCGGTGACAGCTGTCGGTGACTCTTAGTGTCCTATAGCTGCTTTTGGCGCCAAGGTGGTGGTCACTCCCTATATATATATATATATACACTCGCTGGAACTCACATGGTTATATACGTGGAGAATGGCCCTGTAAGTCAGACCATGTTCCACTACAAACAGGTGGTTGTCCACTTCCATGTTAGTTCCAGGGAGAGTATTTATAACCCCCCCCTGCAGATCATGGAACCTGAGAATGGACCCGTGGTTTCGACCATTTTCCGAAGATCCACCCAGTGGCTTTCGGGTTTCATGTGGTTTTAATAGCCGGGGAGTCAAGTTCTGCATGGGTTCTTGCAGGCTTTTTTGGGAGTGTCAGTTTGGGGCGGATATCTTGGTCCACCAGAGTCACCTTTGAAAGCTTTGGGCCTGCAACCTCAGTCTTGGGGCCGAGTCAGGGCGTTGTCGTCCATCTAAACCACGCCCAACGAACTCCGATCCCCACATGGAGTTGGCAACAGATTCCTGGCTTATGTTGATAAAGAATGATAAAGACCACCTAACATATTTTTTTCTTTTGAATGTGGGACACGATGCCTCGTATCTCATATTCCACAAGTTGTGAAGCTACTTTGGGCGTTCTTGCCGTGGTTTGAAACCGAGATGCTTGAGGTCCGCGCGGGGCAGGTTAGTGTTGCAGCAAGATCAAACGACATATTGATGAATTGCACTACAGGGTGCATGTGCAGTTTGTAGTTGAGAACTTGTGTCAGTTTACACAGTTTCTTGGGACCCAACCATTGAGAAGGCCACGGCTGAAGGTTGTTGAACACCGAGCCATGACCTTCAACAATCTGCTGAGCTCACAGGGGGATGATGGAGAGGGGGAGTGAATATGAGACAAAGACTAGGAAAGGGGGGAGAGAATGATGAAACCTTTGGGGTATTCCTTTCCTTTTGGTGAGGTTTAGGGTTTTAATGCCTTCAGCCTTCAACTCCACTGGATCTATCACCCCAAACCTCGCAGCTCTCGGCCGGGCGTGAGAGACTTCGTTCAGGATACGATTACTTCTTCCGAGTCGACACGGCCAGCGAGCTCAGACATCCAGGAACGAGTCAATCCTGCTCGGCAGAGTCCCACGCTTCAGCCGCCCTGCTTCACCTCCCTGCGGAGCACCTGCTCTGAGGACCTCTTCTTTGTGGCTGCACCGGTGGTTGACCCCTTCAAGCTCATGGCCGTCACGTCCTCAGTGGGCACCGAGGCGCCGTGAAGAACCAGTGACGAACAACGAACGTCGGTGGCTCCTGCACGTGACATGAATAGATTGTCTATCAAGAAAGAAACATCCACATTTTGTCTAACATCCACAAAAGTCAAGATCTCATCCACCAAAGATTTGTTTATATATATATATAAGTATATATAACTCTAAAGTGATTATCGGCGAGCGGAGCTCTGAAATTTCATTTTAGGGGCCTAAAGATGCTTCTCAAATCTCAACGCATTGAGCCTAACCATGAAGGGGTAACCCCCCAATAGAGATGTAAAATGCTGTACTACGGTGGGGGGGTTATTTTTCAACTGTTTACATTATGAGGGGAAGACCTGATGTTTACCTTATTTCCCTTAATTTGGAGGTACCTGAGGTTAAGACCCATGCCAGTAGTCGAAGATATTAGGATTGGTAAACCCTCGTGTTGAAATACAAAGTTGGCTTCTTTGGTCCACAGCTGGTCTACTTCAGGATATAGATTTACCTTCCTTTGTTTCCTCAGAAGTTCGCCCGTGGTTCAATGTGAGTCATGTTGTTGATACTTCTTGCCCTTTGAACAAGCTGACTGAGGAGACTCGCTGCGTGATGGTCAAGACCTTGGCAAGCGGCAAGTCTTTCCCAGCTCATGAATGGCATGGTTCGGTGCCTTTTGAAAGTCTTATTTGTGAACATGTTGTGAAAAGGTCTCATAACTGTTCACCATGATGTTATAATCGGAATGAACACCTCCAATGACTCTATGACTTATCCAAGACCACCCATGACTCCAAGGCGTTATCCCCGCCCTCCGAGGTCTACGACCACCTCTCCCGCGAAGCGCCCGGCTGCTTCGACGACTTCGACCGGCGAAGCGCCGAGTGACTTGCTTCGCAGCGGTCGAAGGATGGGAATTCATCACCCGCCCCGACCTGGAGAGGGGATGCATTTGCTTGGTGCGGTTCGCTTTGTACAAATCGTTTGGCCCATCGTGGTGCTTGTGTGTGTTGTTTTTTCTCCGTGGTTTTCCTTCCACCAAAGATTCCCAGCTTTGTTTATATTTGCAAGGTGACGAACCATGGATATTTGTTGTTTGTATGTGTTTGTTTTTCCACCACCAGACCCACTACCAGCAGAAGTGAGCACATCTTTACAGTCTACTTTATGGTCACCACTTCTGATGGTCAATGGTGTCCTTTGCAGCCACGGCCATGGGTGGTCATGCCAAACTAATCAGAGACTAAGTCACCCAATTGTGTGGTCCCATTTGTGTCCGACCAACCTTCCTTGAACTGAACCTCAGCTATGTAATTGGCATGAAACCATTCATATTGCCAACATCTTCCAAAACACAAATCAAAACATGAGTTATCCAGTGCATACGCACCAGCACCCATCTCAGACAGTGGGAAGTCCCCCGACAAGGTGTCTCAAGTACGAACCAACGACTGGACGAATGGTGTCCCCACTCACCGCAACCCACTCACCGCAGTGTCCAAACCTCCAAAAAGCGCCAGGCCGGTACCGAACTCCGACGACACTCGAACCCTTCGCTGGTACCGAACCAATCCACGCCGGTGGAACCGTGAAGAGACCGAGATGCAGTGTGTGGGAACCGGCATGGGAAGGTGGGTGGCTATGCCCTTGCACAACCGGCATTTTGGGATTCACCCACTGGTTTTCAGGTGTCAGGGAATCAACTCCACAGACTGCTTCGCTGTTCCTGAGGTTTCTCGAGCAGATGGAGTACACGGGTGAACCAGATGTGGATATTCTTCTAGTAGGCCGGGGCCTGCTACAGGAATGGGCGCAAAAAAATGATGTCTCGGACTTTTATACTAGGAGCAAGAAGCTACTAGTAGCTCCTGGCATCACTACTTGGAACAAGAAGCTACAGGGAACAAAGGGCATCGTTACTAGGAGCAGGAAGCACTTTGTTGTCCATTTCTTTGACTTGGAAGCCGTCTTTATGGTGGCGTTCCAGGACAGTTGGTTTCAGAGTGTAGTTGATGCTGCCCCTGAAACCCTTTGACTTGAGCAACATTGCATATTTGGATCCAACTTTTTATATGCGCAGCTGTTCGGTCAAACCTGCCCCTTTTTAGTTTGCCATACTTTGCCCTTGTGCATGCCAGAATGCCTTCCGCGAAAGATGTACTTCCCACATGGCCCCGCTCATTGTGAAGGGACGCCAATCCTTATCGCTTCTTAAATCGCTTGAGCGATTTGCCAGGCAAAGGTCCTGCAGCTGCAGGTGGTCAGCCCGGACTCCAGGTGAAAAGGACTTATAGTATGCAGAGTTCAACTTGCAGTTTGATTTGCCCGCATGCTCCGCCCAGAGCTGGGTACTTGGTCTTCTCATGTCTTCTCTGTCTTAGGCAGGACAGGCACTCTAGCTGCTTAGCTTGCTGTGGCAGTTTTGCCATCCACAAGGCACTTCACAGAAGGTTCGACAATGAGGTGAAACCACCAGCCAGTCGCTGATTCTTGGTCCGACCAGCCAGTGCCTTCTGCCACCCTTTCCACCCGAGGTGGACGATCGGCGATGCGCGCTTCTTCACCACACCCTTGTGCCGCTGGGGGGGGTCTGAAGGATCTGCTGCAGGATGTCCAAATTCTTGCCCATGTGGCAGTAGAAATATGCAATTGCTTCTTGGCTTTCATGTCCTGAAGTGAACGGCAAATGAGAGGGCTTTGAACAAGAAAACCCACACTCTTGCCCAGCATGAATCGCCAAGCTTGGTCAACTTCCACAGATACTCAGAGCCACGTCCCCACACGTCACTTTGGTCCTCGTTTGATCTCTCATACCTAGTGTTCTTTTTGGGGGGTTAGTCATGATAGTCCTGGTGGAATCGAGAAGCGGAGAGGGATCGTTCACTGAAGCCATTGAGCCATATGTATCATTCTTACTTCAAAGAGTTATGACTCATGTGACTCATGAGTTACATATTCTAATGAGTATAGTTAATTACATATTCTCATGACTTACATAATTCTATTAGAGTTAGAATACTCATATATGACTCATATTCAACGTTTGTTACACCCTTTCCCAAAAAAAAAAAAGCGATCGGGCGCCTGGCGGCCGACGATGCATCCGTGTGACCCAGGGACGACCAGGGTCATGATTGACACCGAGTAATTCGGCGAGGTACCTGCAGTTTGCAGAGCACATGGTGAGTGGCATCTATGCCCACCGCTGGGTGCGGAGCTGGGATGGGATGATACGGAGGGGGCTTCAGGGGCCGCAAGCGTAACGCCCTGAGTGACCTTAATACCCATAGGGAGTAAATGTATGTCCAACAATTGTTGCTTTGACTCTCAGAAGTCATCAGTCCCACCACCTGCCATGCTCGATGGGGTCATCAGGCAAACCAAGAGCTTTGGAGGCGGCGATTCCAGAATTCTAGATGCTTGCACTTGCCACTGGATATGATCCCACTTGGACTCTCCCGGCAGAGGGCCAAGTTGCTTGATAACGTTTGATACCTTCCCCTGGTATTTTGGCATATTTTGCTCATGATGTGTGCTCCTGGTCGAGTGCATTGTCATGATCCGGCATGTGATGACCGGCATCCCCAGTCCGAGCAGCTGATCCTGCTGCGCAGTGCGGCACTTTTTGGCCCCCGAGTGGGGGGGCACAGGGCTGGGAGACATCGCGGCGACGGGATTCAGGTTGAATTGTTGGTTTTGGTGGAAACACCCCGCAATACCCTGTAAATAAACCGTGAGTATATAAAAGCCATGGCATCCCAAGTAGAACTTGGTTTGGTCACTGATTATACTGCAAATCGCAAAGGCAACGAAGAAAACCGCCGACCCAGGAGACATAAAGGCATGCAAGGGAAGGGTAGTTTTCCTCAGGTGGCAAATCTGCGGCAACTGTACAGTACTTCCTCCAGCTTCAGCAATGTTTGGTTTAACATGTACTGGCAATACGGCTCCTCGATGCTTGTGAAAGCAAATCCTCCATTTCTTGGCTGCACTTCAGCCAGCCTAAGAAGCATTTGGCAAGCTTGGCTCTTCGTTCCAGAATGCCCCAAATCTATCCCAGTCTTTATAAAACCCATCCAGTTTGATCAACTCTAAGGCTCTAAGGGTTTGAGTCAAGCAACATCAAGCAACCCAGATCCGGGTGTCTCTGACCGAGTTCCAACAACTACTCCCCGCCCCGGTGGCGGCACCGGGTGCACCACTCGCTCCACGCAACGCCGTTGGGCTCGAGCCCCATGCAACGCTGCCTGCATCGATGCAGTGGCGTTGGGCACGGCCATGGCCGAGGCATGGCTGTGGTAGTGGTGGGTATGTGGTGGTGGCATGATGTGGGTAAAACCACCAAAGAGTTGATCCTAAAAAGGAGGTTTCATTGCTTTTATGGTGGTGTTATGTTGTGTTGATATGAGTGTAAGCAGTAAACAGTCTAAAGAGTCTAAAGGTACCTAAAAGGATGGGCCAATAGGCCGCCCATTCCGTTTATATAGTATGGTCTTCTCAACCGACCCCCAAAAAGGCCACCCCACCTGAAAAGGCCAAGGCTGCCGACGGCCGTGTGTGGTGTCGAGAGCCGCAGGCCGAAAGAGAGGCAGAGGACGGACGACGTGGAAAAGGGGCCGACAACACACATCACATGGTGGTGGAAGTGGAAGACCCCACCAAGTTCGTGAAGGGAAGTCGTTTTCCAAACAACCATGCCGTCCACTTTCATATTAGTTAGTCAGAATAGTTTGGTTGTTTGTTTTGTTTGTTTGGTTGGTTGGTTGGTTGGTTGTTTGTTTGTTTGTTTGTTTGTGTTTTCAGTGGAACATGCCATTGCAATTAGGACAAGCAGGTCCCTTTGTCATTTGTGTTTTCACGCCATTTGCACGGGCGACGCCGAGCACGAGTTGTTTGGGAGAACTGAAGGGGTGCACCGAAGATGTGCCGGGAAACGTGGGCCCCGTGCTGATGTTCATCCAAAAGGACAACACCAAGTTCAGCATAGAGGACAGCCCAACAGAAGGATGTCATTCCTCTATTGTGGTCCATTGTGGACAAGTTGTTGAATTGTTGCTGTTTTCGTCCGCGAGAGGAACAGAAGATGTTTGATGGCCTCGAAGCCTTTATGAAGACACAGGAGTTCGCAGGGCGTGATGCCAATCTTATCAAGGACTGGTGAGGGGAGAGGGACAGAGAGGGACAGAGGGTGTGCTCAGTTTTGAGATGCGGATCGTAGATTGCGAGCCAAAGTGCTGCACTGCGGGAACTGATTCTGAATGCATCCATCGAGACGTTCGTGGATGACCAAGTCATTTTCCGTGAGCATGCGACTCGAATGCACCCAGCTATGCATGCTAACTATTCAATAAAACGATGCAACACATTTCTTTGAACTATGGAGAGAGATATCTACCTCCGATGCCTGGCAGCTCCAAGAGTTGCATCTCTGAGATGGCCTAACAAGAACGCCGTGGGACGGAGGTCAACCAAGCCGTGGATTGGAACGGAGGTAAACCAATGTTTGAGTCGACTAGTCACTGTGCTGCGAAGCACCGAACTCTTTCAGAGAATGACACATCACACTTTGATCGACCCATCCGGCCCCCCGGGTTGCTATGTGCACAGTGGAAGAATGACACCCCCTATTATTAATCGTGAAACATGGGGGGGCAACATGTTGCGCTCGTCGTAACAACATACTACTTGCATAGTACACCTCACACCTCAAGATTAGGACAGCTTATGTTGTTTATTCAAAGTAATACAGGAATTCAGGGAAGTTGCCGTTGGGCGTCTTTGTGAGACGACTCCAGGACGAGTCATGTCCGCCAGAGAGCGAGAGAGAGAGAGAGAGAGGAATTCAATTCAACAATTGATGAATTAGTCTGGACAAAGGTTCATGAGTTCGGCTTATTATTGCCACCTAGGAGACAGCTGGAATTGAACGTTTGTTTTCTCACCGCAGCTTATACATATATGTCATATTAACTATATATATATTATATAATCGGCACTTGTAAGGGGTACCCTTTGCCAAAACATTTTTGCTTTAAGGATGTAGTAAACAGTTTCATGGTTTAGAGTTGCTAGAAGATTTGGCTGGTTGTTTTAAATTGTAACCTATTGACGAACCATTGGTTTATTGAGGGTAAGTAGTCCACAATTGTATGCCTTTATTTGAGCAAAAGCTGGGTTTTATTGACTTACTGTAATCTTTATTTTCAACCTAAATTTAGTGTGCCGTGTGTCTTTTTTGACACTAGTCTATTCGCTAGCCGGGCGATTTTAGGTTCATAATTGGCTCGTAGTTTACTGTGATGTGAACATTATATACATACACTATAATTCCAGGACCTTCCCCGTGACCTTCTTGGAGTCCCTACGTGACCTTTTTGCAAGCCTAAGTGACCTCAAACCGATCAAGTTGGGTCACTGGGAAGATCCAGGATCAATATGTTGTTATATGAAACATCTGAAATGTTGGGAGGTCGGCACCGATCCCGCGATAGACAGACCAACGGCTTCACGATTTCACCCCCGATTCACTCGTCAGCCAAGGATGATGTGGACAGGATCTACTTCATTCAACATGGAGAGGCAGCGGTTTGCGTCCCTCGGCTGGTCAGTTTGTTGGTTTGCACGTGGTGAAACCGACCTGGTCGCAATGAAGTGGCAAGACCTGGATCTCAGTGGATTTGGGATGATTTGGGCATTTCTTAAACTCTGGTCCTGGGATATGCTGGGATTTTCTGCTCTAGCGCTGCGATCCCAAAAGAACAGGGGACGGATTAACCAAGTCTTTCTGGCAAGGTGAAGCCAACAGCAAAAGGAAAGGCCGAACGGTATCGTGGATGGTCGTAAATGAAATCCGGAGAATGTGAAGTTTTTAAATATGAACCATAGTAGGCTTGTGGATAGTATTGAATCCATTGAATTGGAAGTTGCACCATCTAAAGTCAATGGATTTGATAGTAGTTAAACCTATTTGACTTTGGGTCGTGCCTTAACGCTCTTCCTTTTTGAGCCATTGGTGACTTGCCTAGACGCGGTTTTCCCTGGCACCGTAGGGAGCCTTCGTTGGGCGCTGAGGTGGATGACCAACCCATCGAGAAGATTTCCAGTGGCAAGGTCATCGGCATGGGCGTTCCTTGGCAAAAAGCTGGCCACTGGCAGAAGGGAGCCCGACCTTAAATTCAAGATCCAGAAACGAGCGAATGATGTCTCTATAAAACGAGAACCAAAAACAAACTTTTGGGACCTGAAATGTTACAATCATTCCCAAGTCTCACCAAGCTTGAGTTGGTGCAATCCGATGGCTTTGTAGGAGCACGGTAAGCTCTTTTGCAAAAGGATTAATTACTACATGCATGCAAATGCATGTAACTGCCTTTGTTCATTCGGCTGTTACCGTTCGTTGTTTTCGTATCCATGACCTGGAAGGTCTTCACCAGCCGCATATGTCGTGAAAGCAGATGTTCGCAGGAATGACTCTCTATCAATGAATTGATGTTGATTGAGGGATGGTGCTTCATGTTGTTTGGCAAGACGCATAGCCCCATGCGCTGCGCCCGGGCGGGACTTCACTGTGTCAAAGCCTGAAACCGCATTTGTGCGGCTACCTTGACCGTCTTAAAACATCTTTGAAGCCAAATGCATGCGTAGGGCGGCAGTACTCATGTGCAGTACAACCTTGATTTTATCACTCCCTCCACCATACGAAGAGGTTTCGCTATCCAAATCGGAGGGATCTCGACTCCCGGTCCACCAGGCGATCTTCGAAAGTTTGGGCCTTCCAGTGACCATCAAAGCCATGGCCGCCTGCAACATGCGCACCGTCACCAAGCAGGCGGACACCAATGGATGTTGCGCCTTACATCGCCGGAGTACACCTGAAGCTGCGTGTGGTCGTGTGGTCGAGCTGTGTGCCAGTGGCACGGTGAGAATCGTTTGTTCATAGTTCCCAGATGTTCAGCGGCACAGTGAGATTTCTTGGTGCAACTGTTGAAATGATTTATTCATGGACCAGATATCTCCCCATGTTCAATCACCTACTGTATAAGGCAAAATGCCTCACTAGTATACCCATATGTGTATACCAACTTCTTGTCACTTCTTGTGCACTGTAAACTGTAGACCATCGCTTTCCGCGGTCGAATGGCGCAGTCGAACCGCGCTCCGAACGGCCCGGCGGTCGCTCAGAACTTCCTCTCCGCACTGCAGAAGTATCCAGAGGCGGAACGAACACACGGCGCGGAATGCGCAATCCGAGCACATGTGGAGAGCTGGGCGTTTTGACCGAAGTGGAGGGGAGAAGAGGTGAAATGAGAAGAGGTGAGAAGAGGGAATTTCGGAATGTTTATGGATGAGAAGTGTTACAAATAACATAAACATTGGTGTAACACTTTGGTGTAACAGTTCTGCATGTGGTGTAACATCCAAAATTCCGTTTGGATCCCTAAAAGGCTTGTTTACACCACGTGCTTTTTGCACTTCACACTCCGCATGCTTTTTCCAAGGTGCAACATTAGTAGTTGATTGAGAACAACACAGCACCGGCCCTCCCCCCAAAAAATAGGTTACTTTTGTATGGTAACATCTTGGTGTGTCGTGGGTCCTTCTTGTAGGTCAACTCCACAGATGAAGATCGAGCAATT